ATCTTCTACTGCTTCCCCAGGAACATTAGCAGGGAGCTGGATCCAAAGTGAAGCAGCTGGGACTTGAACCACTGCCCATCTTGGATGCTGGCACTGCAGGTGGCGGCTTTACCCGCCAGCCCCAAGTCTGTCTCTTTAAAGACCTCATTTCCCTACTACCTCGTACTGATTGGCAGAGGATGTGCCCAATAAATGCTTGCCAAATGATTGAAGAAATGATATCAGTGCTCCCCAAAACAAGAGCAGAAAAGGGCGGGCATTTACAAGTGTGTATGCATTTATCACAGTGGCCGGGCTGCAGGGTTACTTTGTAATGTTTCCACAAATATTTTCATAGAAAGGAAATAGCAGGTCTTGAATCTAGGACTCTGGACTCCAGATTCCATGCTGTTTCCACTGTTATTGTTATAATTGGCACTCGTTTTGAGTTTCATACCTTCCTTCATCCAGCCCCCTATTCACACACCAAGTGCTAGGCTGCGGACACTAGATGCAGCTCTAAAGCACACCCAGGACCCCTTTCCCATGCGTGTGCTCACGCAGTGACGTATCTGTTAACAGGAGAGGCTCCTGGAACCGTGACGGAGTTTCATGGGCAGTGCTCAGCCGCGGTTAAGATGCCCCCATGCCAGAGCCGAGTACCTGGGTGTGTGTCAATCCTGGCTCTGGATCTCGGTGCAAGGTTCCTGATAAGTGGACCCTGGGAGGCAGCAGTGATGGCTCAAGTACTTGTGTCCCTGTCACCCACATCGGAGACCTCGACTGAATCCCTGGTTTCTGGCTTTGACCTGGCCCAACCCTGGCCATTGCAGGTATTTGGGGAGGAAACCAGCACATAGAAACTCTGTGTCTCTCATATAAAAAAAAATAAGAAAAAGAACTACAGCCAGGAGGTGTGTGAGCTGGGGGTCGGGATGGAAGGAGCCTTCCCAGCCTGGGGCAGAATCAGTCACCTTGGCTAAGTGGAAACCCGGTGCTGGGCTGAGGCAACATCTGTATCAAATAAAGAATCCAAACATAGTCAAATCCTCCTTTATTCAACCACCTGAAAATCCGTTCTTTTGGCTTTAAGTCTTGCAAAACGAGTGGTACGTCAAAGATCCGTTGGCTGGCCTCTGAGTGTGTGTGGTCATGCGTCTGTGTGGATAAGTGTCTGTGTATAGATACTCTGGCTTTTTATAGTCATAATAGCTGCACTTTAACTCATAAAACCTCTCTCTTCTTACAGCGCTAACACCCACATTAAACGTTCCTGGAGTGTAACATCCCCTTCTGCCAGGCCTGCTCGCCCCCTCCCTCCCTCCCTCCCTGAAGGCTGCTCCTCGGCCTCCATGAATGCCAGGTCGATAGAGGCCGCCAGCACTCTCGCTGAGAACCCAGAGTGTGTGCTGGCTCTTCCGTCCTGACCCGCACCCTCCGGCTGGGGAGCTTCTCCGGGGAGGCGCGTGCGGCTCCCTTCAGAGCTGTGCGTTCTGACCTGTGGCCACCTGGAAAGCAAACATCAACAACGCGTCAGGTGCCGACCTGCCCGCCCGCCCGCCGGCCACACCAGGGGGAGGTGACCATCCTGGCTGCTTCTCCTGACTGCACTTCGTGTGCAATCAGTGCCCCGGGCTTCCACGGAGGGGACAACAGGAAACCTGGGCCAGGGTCACGGGAGGGCCTTGGGCCGGCAGCGTTCCTTCCGTCCTCTGCCGTGGCTCTCTCAGCACTTGGTTTTTCATCTTCGTAGCAGCAGGAGTTATCCTGCACTCATCAAGGTTGTCTCACGCTGGATGCTACAAGGTCTGGAAGCCACTCTGTGGTCCATGCGTAGTACGTTTATTTTACAGAACGCATTTCGTAGGCTTGCCTAATTCCTGGCTGCATTTTATGTCACCGTTCTGTCTGATGTGTTTCTGAGTTATTTTGCTATGCTGTGTGTGTGTGTGTGTGTGTTAGTATATTATATATGTGGGTAATTCAAAAAGTTCATGGAAAATGGAATTAAAAGGTGAGTTTATTTTGGGGCAAAAGCCTTTGAAATCTATGCGGTTTTTTCATAAACTGAGTGCATTTTCCTCAAACATTTTGAAGACCCCCTGCGTGTAAAATCTCTAACGTGCCTACAACCTTTTCGTATGGTTTTGCATCCCTTCGCGCCTATGAAGTGCGTACAGACATAATTAAGTGAATACTGAGGAGCGGGTTGGTTGAAAGCTCCATGTTGGGACGTCCCCGTCCATTCTCCGTTTCTCTGGCTCCCACCTGTCTGAGCGGCAGGAGCACGGTGCCCTGCTGGGTTTCCCTTCTCCGTGCAGCCGACAGTGAGGAGCTGAGCTGGGGGCCGAACGCCCCGGCCACCCCAGGCCCCCTGGTCTCTGGTCTCCTTACCTCTTCTGGAGGCTCCGAGGCTGTGAGGGTGTTCTCTCCTGGAGCCGCAGAGGCCGGAAGCTGCAGGTCTTGGCCCTGGAAAGAGAAAACTTCTGCCAGTGAGAGAGGGCTCCACATCCCTGGCCTCTCGGCTCAGAAGGCTCTTGTGTGCCTTCCCCTTTACCAGGGTCCTACATACTGCCCCGCAGAGCCTGCAGGTGTCAGGGAAGGCCTCCCTCCTCCTCCTGTGCCAGTGCAGAAACCAAGGCTCAAAGGGTTAAGAGACTGCTAGGCCAGGAAAGCAGGTCTTCACACTCCAGAGCTGTTTCTACGATCAGACATCATGTGGTTTGTGTGACACACATCAGTAAGATCTTTAAAAAATTTTTTTTTCATTTTATTTGAAAGGCAGAGAGAGATAGTGAGAGAGATTCCACCCGCGTGTTTCCTTCCCACAAGCCCACGACACCCAGAGCTAGGCCAGGCTCAAGCTAGGAGCCAGGAACTCAATTCAAGTCTCCCGCGTGTGCGGTATCTGATACAGAACTTTGAGCAGTATCCTAACCGCTGTGCAAATGCCTGCTCCTCTAAGGCCTTAAAACCACTACCTGGGGCAGGCATTTGGCCCAGGGGTTAAGAAGGCCTATGGGCCGGCGCCGCAGCTCACTAGGCTAATCCTCCGCCTTGCAGCGCCGGCATACCGGGTTCTAGTACCGGTCGGGGCGCCAGATTCTGTCCCGGTTGCCCCTCTTCCAGGCCAGCTCTCTGCTGTGGCCCCAGAGTGCAGTGGAGGATGGCCCAAGTGCTTGGGCCCTGCACCCCATGGGAGACCAGGAGAAGCACCTGGCTCCTGCCATTGGATCAGCGCAGTGCGCTGGCCACAGTGCGCCGGCCGCGGCCGCCATTGGAGGGTGAACCAACGGCAAAGGAAGACCTTTCTCTCTGTCTCTCTCTCTCACTGTCCACTCTGCCTGTCAAAAGAAAGAAAGAAAGAAAGAAGGCCTATGGAGGCCGGTGCTGTGGTGTAGCAGGTAAAGCCGCCGCCTGCAGTGCCGGCACCCCATGTGGGCGTCAGTTCGAGTCCCGGCTGCTCCACTTCCGATCCCGCTCTCTGCTGTGTCCTGGGAAAGCAGCAGTCCTTGGGCCCCTGCACCCACGCGGGAGACCCAGAAGAAGCTACTGGTTCTTGGCTTCGGATTGGCTCAGCTCTGGCTGTTGCAGCCATTTGAGGAGTAAACCAGCAGATGGAAGACCTCTCTCTCTCTGTAACTCTGCCTTTCAAGTAAGTAACAATCAATCTTAAAAAACAACAACAACAAAAAGACTGCTCATGTCCCACATTGGAGTACCTGGTGCAATTCCCAGCTCTGGCTCCTGACTCCAACCTCTCGTTAGTGCAAGCCCTTGTAGACAGGGTGATGGCTCAAGTGATTGGGTTTCTGCCACCTGGGAGACCTGGACTGAGTTCACGGCTCCCAGTTTTAGCCTGGTCCTGTCCCAGCCATTGTGGGCATGTGGGAAGGGTCCCAGCAGACAGGAGCTCACCTTGTCATCTTTCAGGAAGAATAAAATAAAGAAAACACCTCCCTAACCTTTCTCAAGAATGTGCTAAAGGGGCAGGCATTTGGCCAAGCAGTTAAGTCACTGCTCAGGATGTCCACACCCCATATCAGGGTGCCTGGTTGAGTCCCAGCTCCCCCGCCTCTGATCCAGTGTCCTGCTAATAAGCACCCTGGGAGGCAGTAGATGATGGCTCAAGTACTTGGGCCCCTGCTGCCCACATGGGAGACCCAGTGGAGTTCTAGGCTCCTGCCTTTACTCTGGCCTAGCCCTGGCTGTTGGCTGGCATTTGGGGGATGAACCAGCAGACGGCAGATCTCTATTTCTTATCTGTTTCAAAAAAAAAAAAAAAAAAAAAAGCACGACACAGCCACTCACACACGTAAGTGATCCTAACAAGCAGTCAGGAGAGGCAAGTGGTATAACAGCTTCTTCTGGGGAAAGTTCCAGGTTCTGACGTGGGAACCCAAGGCCAAGAAGCCTTGTCCAGGAACTGCTATGCCGGGGGAAGACCTGGGCACTCTAAGCTTGAAAACACGTATACTTTTTGACATTGGATTTTAATTCATACACTATACACGTCATCTTTGAAAACAACCAATCTAGGCCGGCGCCGCGGCTCACTAGGCTAATCCTCCGCCTAGCGGCGCCGGCACACCAGGTTCTAGTCCCGGTTGGGGCGCCGGATTCTGTCCCGGTTGCCCCTCTTCCAGGCCAGCTCTCTGCTGTGGCCAGGGAGTGCAGTGGAGGATGGCCCAGGTGCTTGGGCCCTGCACCCCATGGGAGACCAGGAGAAGCACCTGGCTCCTGGCTCCTGCCATCGGATCAGCGCGGTGCGCCGGCCGCAGCGCGCCAGCCGTGGCGGCCATTGGAGGGTGAACCAACGGCAAAGGAAGACCTTTCTCTCTGTCTCTCTCTCTCACTGTCCACTCTGCCTGTCAAAAAAAAAAAAAAAAAAAAAAGAAAAAAAAAAAAGAAAACAACCAATCTGCAAGAGAGTGCTAGCTGGCTAAAATTCTAGGATTTCTCCTCTAGGAAACTTGTCTTAGTCCCCCGCCCCCAGGCCATGAATTAGCTCAAAGGCGGTACCACCTCCCCCAGAACCTTCCTTCTCAGGTTATTCAAATGCTGAGCAAGAACAGACTCTCCCCAGGTCCACTTATTTACTGCTTCCCAGGTGCGCCGTCCACAGTGCTGCTTAAGACATGATTTACAATGATTGGCCAGGGAAGTGGGCATGCACGGTGGCACAGCGGCTCTGAGGATGGGTGACACGGACACGCTCTGTTAACATCATTCTGCAGGCAGCGTCTCAGCTGGTGAGCTAAGCACGGCCACCGGAGAGGAGACACGGAAGCCAACAATCGTAAGCGTGCCAGCTGCCTCAGCAGAAGCGGGTTGTTCGTGCCTCTTTCCCAGGGAAGACAGTACAATGAGCCTGCTCCCTGACGTGCTAAGACAGCATCTGCCCCACCCCAGCTCCCAGAATGCAAATTTGTTTTATTACTCTCCAGAGCCAAACAGGAGGACACTCTCACTACCTCCACACTGAAATCACACAGTACCACTGAGCTGCCCTTTTCAGCGCTAAAGACGAGACGTAACTACACTCGCCGGCTCACAACCCTGCACTTCTCCTGTGCTTATTCACCATCCACGTGTCCTGCATTTTTTTTTAAGAGTTATTTATTTATTTCAAAGGCAGAGTTACAGAAAGAAAAAGAAGAGACACAGCCCTTCCAGCCTCTGGTTCACTCTCCAAGTGGCTGCAATAGCCAGGGCTGGGCCAAACCAAAGCCAGGAGCCAGGAGCTTCATGTGTCTCCCACATGGGTGTGGGGGTCCAAGTTATGTGGGCCATCTTCTGCTGTTTCCCGGGTGCAGCAGGAGTGACTGGACCAGAAATGGAGCACCCAGAGCCCACACGGGATGCAGTGTCACGAGAGCACCTTTACCCGCTACAACGCTGGAACCTGCTTAGCTCTTTGAATTGGCACAGCTGCCCCAGACTAGAAGCCAGCCAAGGGGATTTCCTGTCTTGTTCTGTTAGGGTCTTCTGTGTTTTATCAAAACTGAGGGCATATAATTGTGATAGAGTATTAGAGGAGTCAGTTGAGATAACTTTATTAGTCTCCTCCTTGTCCATCTTCCTTGCCTCTCCAGCCTCTGGAAAAAACTGTGATCAAAGAGCTAGTGTTGGGGCCGGTGCCGTGGCTCACTTGGTTAATCCTCTGCTTGCGGTGCAGGCATCCCATATAGGCGCCAGGTTCTAGTCCTGGTTGCTCCTCTTCTAGTCCAGCTCTTTGCTGTGGCCCAGGAGGGCAGTGGAGGATGGCCCAAGTGCTTGGGCCCCTGTACCCGTGTGAGAGACCAGGAGGAAGTGCCTGGCTCCTGGCTTCAGATCGGTGCAGCACTGGCCATGGCGGCCATTTGGGGAGTGAACCAAGGGAAGGAAGACCTTTGTCTCTGTCTCTCTCTCTGTCTATAACTCTACCTGTCAAAAAAGGGGGGGAGGGGCTAGTGTTATGGTGCAGCAGGTTGAGCCAATGCCTGCAGCACTGGCATCCCAAATGGGTGCTGGTTTGAGTACTGGCTGCTCTACCTCCGATTTCGCTCCCTGCTAATGTGCCTGAGAAAGCAGCAAAAGATGGCCCAAGTACTTTAGCTCCTGCACCTGTATGGGAGATGTGGATGAAATTCCTGGCTCCTGGCTTCAGCCTGGCATGTCTCCAGCCAGTGTGGGCATCTGGGTGAGTGAATCAGTGAATGGAAGATCTCTCTCTCTCTCTCCCTCTCCTCTCTGTCTCTGCTGCTCTCTCCGTAACTCTGCCTTGCAAATAAATAAATGAAACTTTTAAAAGTAAAAATTAAAACGTGAACAATGTAGGGGTGCATGTTGTGGTACAGCAGGCTAAGCCACTGGCCGGTTGCCTCCATCCTGTATCAGAGTGCGGGTTCGGCTTCAGCTACTCTGCCTCCTATCCAGCTCCCTACTAGGGCTCCTGGGAAGATGCAGATGATGGCCCACATCTTTGGTCCCCTGCCACCCAAGTGGGAGACCAAGATGGAGTTCCTGGCTTCTGGCTTTGGCCTGGCCTGGCCCAGCCCTGGATGTGTGGACTTCGGGAATAAACCAGCAGACAGAAGATCTCCCTCTGTCTGTCCCTCTGCCTTTCAAGTAAATAAATGAATCTATAACAAGTGAACAATGTAGGAGGAAGCCCCACACCGTTGAACCCTGGACGCCCCCTGTACCCTTTGTCCATGTTAGCTCTTAGGGGCAGGAAGCTCCCCAGGCAGCATGGTCAGCCTTCAGCCAGGGACAGGCAGCAGTTAGGTGGTGTGACCTGAGGGTACCCGAAATCTCACACTCTTCCTCCAGACACCCCACAGCTCAGGTCCTGGCCTTCATGCAAATATTGCCTTCTCTGAGCGCCCTGTTTAAAACTGCCATTCAACCCCTACTCTCTTTCTCTACTTCATTTTCCTTCATATCTCTTACCACCACTACAGTGAGATTTTTATTTATTTATTTATTTATTTATTTATTTATTTATTTATTCTTTTTCTTCCCTGTCTTCCTTCACTAGTACTGAAGGATATTTCAAACTGTGGGAAAAAAGGCAATGAATTAAAAGGCAAGTGGGATTGGTGCTGTGGCATAGCGGGTAAAGCCGCCACCTGCAGTGTCAGCATCCCATAGGGGCATCAGTTCGAGTCCCAGCTGCTCCACTTCTGATCCAGATCTCTACTATGGCCTGGGAAAGCAGCAGAAGATGGCCCAAGTCCTTGGACCCCCTACATCCACATGGGAGACCCAGAAGAAGTGGATTGATGCTGATCTGTTGTGGCTGACTGGGGAGTGAACCAGCAGATGGAAAACCTCTTTCTCTCTTTCTCTCTCTCTCTCTCTCTGCCTCTCCTCCTCTCTCTGTGTAACTCTGCATTTCAAATAAATAAATATTTAAAAAATAAACTAAAATATGTGGTTTTGGGGCTGATGTAACATAGCAGGTTAAGCCACTGCCTGCGACGCTGGCCTCCCCTATAGGTTCTGGTTTGAGTCCCGGCTGTTCTATTTCTCATCTAGCTCCCTGTTAATGTGCCTGGGAAAACAGCAGAAGATGGCCCAAGTGCTTGGGCCCCTGCACCAAAATGGAAGACCTGGATCCCTTCTGGGCCCAGCCCTAGCTGTTGAGGCCACTTGGGGAGTGAACCAGCAGATGGAGGATCTCTTTCTTGTCTCTCCCTCTCTTTAACTTTGCCTTTCAAATAACATAAATAAATCTTAAAAAAAGAGCTATAGCCAGAAATTGAACCTAGGCACTCCAATATGGGACACAAGCATCTTAATACTAAGCCAAGAATGGGGACTAACAGGCTCACGGGCCACCTAAGGCCCACAAAATCAATTAGGTTTGGGCCTGCAAAGACAATCAAGGCGGGACTTGAAATTCCACAAAGCTGCCGGCGCCCCGGCTCACTAGGCTAATCCTCTGCCTTGCGGCGCCAGCAGACCGGGTTCTAGTCCCAGTCAGGGCACTGGATTCTATCCCGGTTGCCCCTCTTCCAAGCCAGCTCTCTGCTGTGGCCCGGGAGTGCAGTAGAGAATGGCCCAAGTCCTTGGGCCCTACACCTGCATGGGAGACCAGGAGAAGCACCTGGCTCCTGCCTTCAGATCAGCGTGGTGCACTGGCTGTGGTGGCCATTGGAGGGTGAACCAACGGCAAAAGGAAGACCTTTCTCTCTGTCTCTCTCTCTCTCTCACTGTCCATTCTGCCTTTAAAAAAAAGAAAAGAAAAAGAAAAAGAAATAAATAAATAAAAAAAGAAATTCCACAAAGCTGCACAGGCAATAGGGCTCGTGAGTGATGTCCAAGTTGAACTCGTGGAAGAAAGGTCCCCATCCCTGCTGCTAGACACCTGCTCCTCACTGTGTCCTGCCCCCTTCCACCTGCTCCTGTATTTACAAACTTCTTTTTCATCCTACTTTTTAAAAAATATTTTATTTATTTGAAAGGCAGAGTTAGAGAGAGGCAGAGAGAGAGAGAGAGAGAGAGAGAGAGATCTATCCACTGGTTCACTTCCAAAGTGGCCACAATGGCTGGGGCTAGGGCCAGGCCAAAGTCAGGAGTCGGGAGCTTCATGTGGGTCTCTCATGTGGGCACTTGGGCCATCCTCTGCTGCTTTCCCAGGTACATCAGCAGGGAGCTAGATCAGAAGTGGAGCATCCAGGACTCTAACTAGAGCCCACATGAGACGCTGGAGTCGCAGGCAGCAGCTTTACCGACTACGCCGCAACACCAGCCCCCCAACCCCGCCCCCATCCCACTTTTTAAACAGAGCTAATTGTTAACAAGTGTCTCTTGTACTAATCCAAAATGTTCTGCTTTTAGAAAATCTGCACACAGAACCCAAGCCCTGTGCTCTGGAGTCTTCCAGAACAGGTCAAGTCTCCCTTGCGTAATATGCCAGTCTGAACAGAACAGAACTTGATTTCCAGTTTCCTCACAGAACAGCCTGCTCTCCGGCAGGTCAGTGCCTCGGAACGTTTTCTCATCTATTATCTTTCAAAAGCCAGCCCTTTGGCTTCCCTCCCTCAGAGTTCTAGGTCCCTCTCATCAAAGATGCACTTCGGAAATTTGCTGCTATTTTTCTTGGGGTCTATATGCCATAGCCACAAGTGGAAGAAATTAGTAAGAATATTCCAATAACGCTAGAGATAAGCCCGTTGTAGGCGTCAGCTACCCCAAGGGTAGATACTACAGCAGCTGCTAAGAAGACATGAAACAACCCCCAGAACCCAAAAGAGGCTTCTAGAGTACTAAGACATCTTACCACGGCCGGCAACCTGACTGCGGCGAAGGTGAGCTACACGGAGGTCACAAAGGGAATCAAGACTCAGCCAGGCAACTCCTACCTGAGACACCGAGGTGGGGGAGGCACAAGGTTCTGCGCTTGGAACAGGGGCGTCTTCCATTTCTCTGGCCCCAGGAGCTCTGCCTGGCTTCTCTGGTGGCTCTGCATGAGGAGAGACCTCCAAGGAGGCCCTAGGACTTGGAGTCCCAGTGCCCAGGACGCCCCCGGGGCTGGCGGGTGAAGCCCCTTCGGAGGCCGGCGGGCTGGGGGGTACATCCCCTGAGGGGGGCCTGGGGCTCGGAGTGGCGCGGGGTGGAGGCGGCCTGCTCGGGGGCGCTGAGGCCCGCTGGGTAGAAGCTCTCTTCTTGGGTTGTTCGGCTCCTTCGCTGGAGGCGCGGGTTCGGAGAACTACTTCCGGGGCAGGAGATGAAGGCTGCACCGACAGGGTCAGGACTCTGTCTGGTGATGCAGGCGGCGAGCGAGGGGGAACCTCCTCCTGGGACGCCTCGGCCTCGGTGGTGGCGGAGGGCTGGACCTCGCTCGGGCCGTTGCAGGCTGGTAGAGGCTCTTCCTCCTCAGAGCTGGCTTCCGACTCTTCCTCCGCCATTTCTTCATCTTTTGAGGGCTCCTGTTTCACTTCACAGTTGTCTTCTCCCTGGGCTGCACCAGGGGCCAGCTCCTCTTCAGTAGCTGATTCAGATTCCATTTCACTCGTCAAGGACCGTGCAGAGGGACTGGTGGGAGAGGTGAGAGGGCTGGAGACTGCAGACGTTCGAACGGGAGCAGAGATGACTAAAGAGCGCCTGCTGCTGCTAAAACAGGAAGGGAATTCAAACTCAGAACAGCAAAGACCGGAAGTAACCAAAACATCCAGAACAAATTATCATGCATGCACATCTAAGAAAACAGAATAAACCAGCTTAAAATGATTTTTAGAGGGGGCTGGCGCTGTGGCGTAGTGGGTAAAGCTGCCGCCTGCAGTGCCAGCATCCCATACGGGCACTGGTTTGAGTCCTGGCTGCTCCACTTCGGATTCAGCTTCCTGCCGATGGCCTGGGAAAGCAGCAGAAGATGGCCCAAGTACCTGGGCCTCTGACACTTGCATGGGCGACCAGGAGGAAGCTCCTGGCTCCTGGCTTCGGCCAGACCCAGTCACAGTTGTGACCATCTGGGGAGTGAACCAGCAGATGGAAGATAGCTCTCTCTCAGTCTATTCCCCTCTCTATAACTCTTTCAATAAATACATAAAGTTTTTTTTTTTTTTTTTTTTGACAGGCAGAGTTAGACAGTGAGAGAGAGAGAGACAGAGAGAAAGGTCTTCCTTTTCCATTGGTTCACCCCCCAAATGGCTGCTACGGCCAGCGCGCTGCGCAGATTCAAAGCCAGGAGCCACGCGCTTCTCTTGGTCTCTGATGCGGGTGCAGGGCCCAAGGACTTGGGCCATCCTCCACTGCACTCCCGGGCCAAAGCAGAGAGCTGGCCTGAAAGAGGAGCAACCGGGACAGAATCCAGCGCCCCAACCGGGACTAGAACCCGGGGTGCCAGTGCCATAGGCGGAGGATTAGCCTAGTGAGCCGCGGTGCCTGCCTAATATATAAGGCTTTAAAAATGATTTTACAAAGCTTGTACAATTGGAAATTCTTCTTCTGTTATCAAATGTAATAGAAAAGGCTATACAGTTTCATCTATACCTGATTTTCCTTAACATGTAAAGATGGGTGGGCATGTGGGCTGGTGGTGAAGACACTGCTTGGGATGCCCACATCCCATATTGCAGTGCCTGGGTTTGAGTCCTGGCTTGGCTTTTGATTCCCGTTTCTTGCTAATGTGGACCCTGGGAGGTGGCAGGTGATGGATCAGGTACTTGGGTCCCTGCCCTGCCACACAGGAGACCCACATGGAGTTTGAGCTCCTGGCTTCGGCCTGGCCGACACTTGGATGTTACAGGAATTTGCGGAGTGAACCAGCAGATGGAAGATCTGTCTCCCTGTTTGTATCTGTCACTCTGCCTTTGAAATTAAAAAAAAAAAAATACAAACAAAAAATAAAATATTAACAAATAGTTATTCTGAGGAAAAAATTGGTGATATGCAGTTGATTCATACAGATTCCATATTTACAAATTTGCCCACTTATTTGTGACCCCAAAGGTCAGTACCCACAGTACTCTCCTAGTCATTCATGGACACGCACCAGGTGGGGAAAGGTGAGGTGCCCGCCCTGCACCTTCTCAGCTGAGCTCCAACAAGTGGCGACCTGCCTTTGTTGCAGCTCTCCCAGTGTACGTAAGTGCACTTTTCAGCATGATCTTTCCCTTTTTGTTGGTGATTTTGCTATTTAAAACTGGTTTTCAGAGCTGAAGTGCTATCTAAGCAGACTCTGGTGTGCCTCACGGAGGAAATATGTGTTGGGTAAGCGTCATTCAGGCAGAGGTTAGTGCTGTTGGCTCCAAGTTCCACATTGATGAAGCAACAATATATACAAAAGAAGGTGTCTTTAAATAGAAACTCACATAAAGAACACTAAGTATTGGTTAATGATAATGGGACCAGAGGCTCACAGGAAAATAACCCTGTGTTCCCCGGATGAGCAACAGTGCAGTATTGTTTGTGGTGAGTTATGCAATGTAACCACCATGAATAATAAGAACAACTCCAGCATTTGTTGAACATCTACTATATGCTGGAGACCATGTTGAATACTTACAGGCTGACTCCTCGAGTATTGCTGGGTACTGCCCACCAATGACTAAGCAACCCACAGATACATACTTGACAGTTTCCAACCACATGCTGTGTCCCAGGCACAAGGATGGGAGATGGGGAGAGGAAAAGGCAGAGGGAAACTTAGGTCTTGCACTCCGGGACTTTCTGACGTGGGATACCTTGTGTGGCGTAAGGTTCTTTACTGCACTGGCATTCCCGGAATCAGGAAGTTTGAAAGGCTCAGGACATGGCAAAGTAAACAAGAAATTTCCTTCCCAGCTTCTAGGACAACTGTGAGTACATGAAGACAAGTCTGTGAAGCGTGGATAGTGATGAAGAACTCTGGCTTTTAAGGCTGGGAAGAGGAAAAATAGAGCTTTCCTTTTGGGGCAAAAGGAAATTTGTCTAGGAAGCCTACTTTGACCGGTTATTCTTTTTTAGCCATCTGTAGCTAAGCGCTAAATGAGTGGCACCAACAGCAAACTGAGCCCTTTTCTTTATCCCAGTCCCAAGCTCAGTTCCACCATCTCCTGAAAGCTGTCTGCACACTGGACTTGCTTAGCTTGCTGGGCTTTCTATCGGCTCATCAGGCACTCACTGTGTGCAAGCTTACATCATTCCTTGGGCACATTTTCTGCACTTCCAACTTTTGGGAAATCACTTGAGGGAAACAACAAGTCTCTCATATCTTTGGATCCCTAACACCTAGCATAGAAGGAGCTTAATATAACCCTTTTTTTTTTTTTTTAAAGATTTTATTTATTTATTTATTTACTTGAAAGGCAGAGTTACAGAGAGAGTGGGAGAGACAGACAGACAGAGATCCTCTATCTGCTGGTTCATTCCCCAGATGGCCCTAACGGCCAGGGCTGGGCCAGGCTGAAACCAGAAAACCAGGAGCCAGGAGCTTCCTCCAGGTCTCCCATGTGGATGCAGGGGCCTAAGGACTTGGGCCATCCTCTGCTGCTCTCCCAGGTACATCAGCAGGAAGTTGGATCAGAAGTGGAGTGGCCAGGAGGTGCCCACATGTTATGCCAGCCCGGCAGGCGGCAGCTTTATCTACCATGCCACAGCACCGGCCCCGCTTAACACACCTGTCTAAGCAAAGGCTTTAGACTGAGTAGTGGTCACATTCTGAGGGACAGTGAATTGCTTACACTCATCAGCAGGAAGAATGTGCAAAGGCAAAATCTATCACAAAGAAAATTGGAAAAATCATGTTGGTATAGGCTGGGAAAAGACACTTGGAATGTATATAATTAAAGGAATAGTATTCAGAATATACCAACCAGCCACCAGAAAAAAGAAAATAGTCACATAAATCAATTTTTAATAAATTGTTGGGGGTCGGTGCTGTGGTGCAGAGGGTTAACACCCTGGCCTGAAGCGCCAGCATCCCATATGGGCACTGGTTCGAGTTCCGGCTGCTCCATTTCTGATCCAGCTCTCTGCTATGGCCTGGGAAAGCAGTAGAAGATGGCTCAAGTCCTTGGGCCCCTGCACCCACATGGGAGAACCAGAAGAAGCTCCTAGCTCCTGGCTTCAGATCAGTGCAGGTCCAGCCACTGCAGCCAACTGGGGAGTGAACCAATGGATGAAAGACCTCTCTCTCTATCTCTCTGCCTTTCCTCTCTCTGTATAACTCTGACTTTCAAATAATATAAATAAATCTTTTAAAAAAATAAATAAATGGTTAACAGGGGCCGGCGTTGTGGCATAGTGGGTAAGGCTGCTGCCTGCAGAGCCGGCATCCTGTATGGGTGCTGGTTCGAGTCCCAGCTGCTTCACTTCTGATCCAGCTCTCTGCTATGGCCTGGGAAAGCAGTAGAAGATGGCCCAAGTGCTTGTCCCATGCACCCACATGGGAAACAAGGATGAAGTTCTTGGCTCCCAGTTTTGGGCTGGCCTAGCCCTGGCACTGTGGGAAGTGAACAAGCAGATGGAAGACCTCTCCTCTCTGTCTCTCCCTCTCCTTTTCTCTCTCTGTAACTCTGTCTCTCAAATAAATATCTAAATCTAAAAAAAAAAAAAATAAGTTTGATAATTTCACATGTGAAGCCATGGGGGCTCTTACTGCTGGTAGCTTGTGAAACTGAGTAATCACTTCAGAGAGCAGTTTAGAATATCCAGGAAGCAAGCTGGTGCTGTGGTGCAGTGAGTAAGCCAGCGCCTGCAGCACTGGCATCCTATATGGATACCAGTGTAAGTCTCGGCTGCTGCAAGTCCTATCCAGCTCCCTGCTAATATGCCTGGGAAGGAAACAAAATACCTTGGGCCCCTGCACCCACGTGGGTGTCCCAGAAGAAGCTCCTGGATCCCGGATTTGGCCTGGCCCAGCCTTGGCTGTTGCGGCCATTCGGGGAATGAACTAGAAGGAAGATCTCCCTAACTCTTTCAAGTGAATAAATAAATATTTTTTAAAAATTCTGGTAATATCCACAAGGAGAAATATAAAACCTGCTTGTTTATCCCAATGCCCATTGGCAGGAAGATAAATAAACCATGGACTAGGCACACAGTAGCATCCATAACAGTTATGGAAAGGATGCAGAGAGCAACATGTAGCAACAAAGATAAATCTCACAGTGATAAGAACAAGAAGTTACACAAGAATATATACAGGGGCTGGCGCTGTAGCGTGGTAGGCTAAGCCTCCACCTGGGGCTCTGGCATCCCATGTGGGTGCTGATTCGTGTCCCAGCTGCTCCACTTCTGACCCAGCTCTGTTCTATGGCCTGGGAAAGCAGGAGAAGATGGCCCAAGTGCTTGGGCCCCTATATTCACGTAGCACACCCAGAACAAGCTGCTGGCTCCTAGCTTTGGATTCGATTGGCCCAGCTCCAGCCATTGTGGCCATTTGGAGAGTGAACCGGCAGATGGAGGAACTTTCTGTAACTCTACTTCTCAAATTAATTAATAAAATCTTTAAAAAAAAAGAATATGTACAGAGTAAGTTCATTTACATCAATTTTTTTCTAATTTATTTGAGAGGCAAAGTTACAGTCAGAGAGAGAGAGACAGAAAGGTCTTCTATCCACTGGTTCACTCCCCAAATGGCCCTAACAGCCAGGGCTGGGCCAGGCTGAAGCCAGAAGCCAGGAGCCAGGAGTCAGGAGCTTCTTCCAGGTCTCCCACATGGGTGCAGGGGCCCAGGGACTCAGGCCATCTTCTACTGCTTTCCCAGGCCACAGCAGAGAGCTGGATCAGAAGTGGAGCAGCTGGGACAGGAATCAGCACCCCCATGGGATGCTACAGCCCCAGGTGGAGGCTTAGCCTACCATGCTACAGCGCCAGCCCCTAATCAACTTTTAAAACATGCAAAACTATTTCATGTGGGCATGTGTGTGTGAGGTAAAAGTAAAAAGACCTGCGTAGAGATGATACTAAATTTAACACAGTGGTTCCCTTTGGTGGAGGCAGGAAGAGAAAGTGAGTATGGGAGGGACACTGGGAAATTCATATATATTTATCCTGACAGATTTCTTCAATTTGGTGATAGATTTATGGCTCTGTTATATTACTTTATTTTTATTTTTTTACAGGCAGAGTGGACAGTGAGAGAGAGAGACAGAGAGAAAGGTCTTCCTTTGCCGTTGGTTCACCCTCCAATGGCCACCGCGGCTGGTGCGCTGCGGCCGGCGCACCGCGCTGATCCGATGGCAGGAGCCAGGTGCTTCTCCTGGTCTCCCATGGGGTGCAGGGCCCAAGGACTTGGGCCATCCTCCACTGCACTCCTGGGCCACAGCAGAGAGCTGGCCTGGAAGAGGGGCAACCAGGACAGAATCCGGCTCCCTGACCAGGACTAGAACCCGGTGTGCCGGTGCCGCAAGGCAGAGGATTAGCCTAGTGAGCCGCGGCGCCGGCCTGTTATATTACTAACACCTTCAGTTATATCTCCAATATTTAATGAAAAGAAAGATCAGTTGTACACAGAAGTCGCATCCCGCACGAGGCCAGGATCTCCAAGCTGAGGGAGCTCCCTGTGGCCGCGCACAGCGCGAAGGAAGCTGGGAGTCTCATGTTGCTCACCTTGACAGTCCCTTCACCACGAAGACTTTGTTGGAATGCTGCTTCTCCAGTTTGCTCATCACCTCGTACAGCTGGTGGTTCAGCTGGAGCCAGCCAGGAAGAAAAGGACAGTCAGATGGGACCCCGTCCCCGACCCCTCCTCCAGACAGTTCCCCAGGAAAACCTCCTCGGGCCTCCCACTCTGCTCAGCCATTCCCCCTCCTCTCTGTAGCAGAACAGTCCGGTACTTGTCCCAGCAACCTTCCTGCTCCCTTCTCCTACCCTCCGCCTCTCCCGTCAGCAGACTGGCAGCTTCTCACGGCAGGCTCCCTAAGCGTTTGGTTTCACCTGCTAGCTTCTTTAGTGCTCCAGGGAATGAAAACTCCTTGTCTAATGTTAGCCAGGCAAATCCAACCCGCCAAAAGACACCGCGGCAAGTACTGTGTGTAGCTGAGTGTGAATATAATTAATACTGTAGCAGCAAAGAATCCGGAATTTCCAGGACTAGGAAAGACCTCATGAGGTCACGTCCCCTGCCAGGACCAGTGGTGTTCAAGCCCCATTACCCGGAGAAAGCTGCCTTGTGCTCAAGTCCTGGCATCCCTGCTCCCCAGCACAGGAGAGACTGCACTTGGGTCTAACACATAGGCCTAACCCCTTTACTCATCCTAAGGCTCAAGTTGAGATGTTCGCATTCAGTTGTTAATGGAGCCGGAGAGGGCTCTCTGAGGGAATTTACAAATACATGCATACATATGTACTTTAATACAGAGTTCACCACAGACTATCAAACGCAATAAGTCAAAATCTGTGATGCCAATATGAATGCTAAAATACATTATGTAACTGAGGGCTACCTTCAAATTTACTAGAAAAGCCCACCAGGATCGCAGGTGACCGGATGCTTCTCACCTTGCTCATCTCCCTGTAGAAGACGTCCCTTAGGTTGGAAATGTTCTGGAAGATGGTCACATAACAGCCAACGCGACTACGAGGAAGCAAAATAACAAATACGGGAAAGGAGGTCTTTGAAACAGGCTTGGAGAAGCTTAAGCTAAACTCGGCGACCACCAAGGCTGCTCAGAGAAAGCACCCACATCCTAGATTCGGGGTGCTCTGGCATCTGGGTTCATCAGAGGAGTACGCCCAGCTGTCAGAAGCAGGAGGGCCGGGGAGACAGCACCAGACTAGGCTGAAACCAAAGTTTAACCGACCTCTAGTCCCAGGAACCTATGTGGTTCAAGCACTTGAGGTACTGAAATAGACATGAAAGTGCTTTGAAGAATTTTTAAAAGGGTTGTATAGGCCGGCGCCACGGCTCACTAGGCTAATCCTCGGCCTGTGGCGCTGGTACTCCGGGTTCTAGTCCCAGTTGGGGTGCCAGGTTCTAGTCCCGGTTGCTCTTCTTCCAGGCCAGCTCTCTGCTGTGGCCCGGGAGTGCAGTGGAGGATGGCCCAAGTGCTTGGGCCCTGCACCTGCATGGGAGACCAGGAGGAAGCACCTGGCTCCTGGCTTTGGATCAGCATGGCATGCTGGCTGTAGCGGCCATTTTGGGGGGTGAACCAATGGAAGGAAGACCTTTCTCTCTGTCTCCCTCTCTCACTGTCTAACTCTGCCTGTCAAAAATAAAATAAAAAATAAAGGGTTGTATAAATATAGGGCCATATAATTATAATTATTACAATAAGTAGTTATCCTTTCTCTTCATGCAATTCAGGATTTCTGTGCCTATGTATACATCAATGGAAATTCCCATAAATGAATTGGAAAACTTTACTTTTAAATAAACTGTGTTAAATCTTGATTTGATTTAAATCAGGAGCCAAATAATTAATGCTTTACAATACATGTAGTCATTAAAAATGCTCCATCATACACAGACTCATATCGAGTGATAATAAAAATACTCTGACTACAACTGTATCAAAGTACAAAGTTTCTTTAAAACATTACTGGAAAAATGGAACTAAGAGATAAGTTTATTTTAGCACAAAAAAATTTCACAATAGGTATTTTCCATGTGCTTTTTTGAAGACCCCCTCATCTATCTTGTGCAATAAAAAGAAAATAGGATACAAATGGAGTTTCTGCTCAGATTTCTCTTCCAGTGTTGATCATTAAAGTCTAAAACACTTTCATCTGCTGTGGAGCAAAAACCCCCTCATTAGTGCACGCCGTCATCCCACAGTTTATCTCCTAAGTGAATCTGGAAGTTTCCTAACCAAGCCTGTTTCAAACAATACCCACTTGGGCATGAGAGCAGACACTCGTGACATGAATGACCACGGCTGTTTCCCTGCCAAGATCTCTCCTACCCAAGAAGCAACTTGTCTTCAAACCCTGAACAGCTGGCAGGGTGAGCTGGACTACAGATGAAGCAGCCAGGGTCCAGAAAACAGGTGGCTTGTCTACCATCAGGCAGCAGCTTAGGGTAGGCTGGGGTGGCACCCCGCTCTTCCACTTGTGCGTGAGCTGCAGGCGTCAGCCCTTTCCTGAATCTTACACATTACCTATTGTAAAGAACAGGCAGCTCCTCCAGCAGTTCCTGGTTCAGATCTTCAAACACAGTCTGGGCTTTGTTGAACTCTTCCTCTGCCTAGGTGGGAGAAAAGACAAGAAAACCACCCTCATCCTCAACCCAGGGCTAGAAGTGCCTCCTTTGTTCTCTGCATTTTTTCTTCAGGGAGGAGGCTGACTTGGAGCCACGCTGCTCCTTCCCCACACCCATGCGTCCCCAGCCTCAACACATGACTGGCCTTGCAGCGTCAGTGCCGGAGGGAACAGGATTCTCTTCAGACACCGGGTGCTTGATTATCACTCCCTAGGTCCATCTCAGCCCTTGCACTTGCTGCCCCTCTGCGAGGAGGAAGAGACGGCAGGTCTCAGCAGGTGCTTTTACCTTGGCAGTCTTGGCCTCATCCTTCTTCTTGGCATTCTGCACTGCCTCCAGGTGGTGTCGGGCACTGTCATAGTCCACAAGCTTCCGGCCCCGCTTCGCAATTCTCTCCTGACCCGGGGTAGTGAGAAAGGGTGTGGGTCTTCGTTTCTCGGTAGTATCGGGATGTAAGCAACACAGCGCCAAGCAGAGATGCAAGATGCCTGCGCCCTACTATCAGACTTCATTTTCTAACAGGGTTTCACGTCCAGAGGGTCCTCACTATCTGGGAAGAATAGGGATCCTCAGGGGAGATGGAGTAAGGGTAGTCCTACAGAGCACATGGAAATCACGTTCAACTTTCAAGTTTTCTATGAGCTCATTATACACCGGGTCAGCCTTCAGGAGAAGTAACCTTGAGAAACCCACTAAATTGAAAGTCTCAGTCCCAAATCTGTCATTCATTAACCTGTGGCCTAGGGCACGCATGACACATCTCTTCTGAAGCCTCAGGAGCCCTATCTGCCCTATGTCAGTGTTGTTTTATGGAATTTCTGAAATTGAAAGTCAGAAAGAGAGACAGAGATCTCCCATCTTCAGTTCACTCCCCAAATGACTGCAACAGCCAGGGCTGGGCCAGGCTGAAGCAGGGAGCTGGGAATGCAACCTGGGTCTCCCATGGGGGTGGCAGGGACCCAAGTACTTGAGCCGCCACCTGCTGCTTCCCAGAGTGTGCATCAGCAGGAAGCTAGAACTGAGAGCAGAGCCCAGACCTGAGCCTAGACATTCCAACAGGGGGTGCAGCCGTCCCAAGGGTGTCTTAACTGCTGCACCAAATGGTCATCCTGATTAATTTAAAAATTATTTTGAGAGGGAGAGAGAAGGAGGGAGGGAAGGAGGGAGGGAGGGAGAGAGGGAGGGAGGGACTTCCCAAATGCCTGGAGCCAGAAACGCAATCTAGATCTCCCAATGTGAGTAGCAGGAACCCAGTCACTTGAGCTAGCACCACTGTCTTTCAGGGTTTGCATTAACAGAATGCTGGAGTCAGAAGCGTGGAGCCAGGAATCAAACCCCGGCTCTCTGATGTGGGACACAGGCGTCTTAACTGCGAGGCTAAATGTCCACACCCAAGTGCTACTTTAAAGATCAAATGCTCAACATCAAGTGCTTTGACACTAAGGCATAGTGGAAATAGTGAACTATTATGAGTGCTGTAATCAAGTCCACTCAGTCTCATCTGGACTACAAGGAGAAGCAAATCATGGCACTGGCCTGCCTCATTCTCTGAATCACAGACAGAATTTGAAAAGATCTGGGTGATTATCTTGCCCGACTTCCTATCAATACAACAGCTGAGATAAGAAGCAGTTCAACTTCTGCTGGAGCACAGAGCAGACAACTGTACAGGAGTATGTGGTCTATCCATTTGCGTGCATAAGCGAATTCCGACTCCGCTTCCTGGAATAGGCTGAACTGCGCTTTCACCTTACAGTTTCACGTGTTTGAAGACAATTATGACTCCTCCTCCAAATGTCCTCTTCCGTATAATAAACATCTCTAGTACCATCAGCTGTTTCTCACAGCTAAAACAGATACCCTAACCCGGATCTACTTCAAAAGCAGCCCAAATCTAGCTCACTGACACCTAAGTGGAAACACACCATCACGCCACCTCTGCTCTCCACTGTACCTCCTGCCTAACCCTCTAACCTGTCCCCAGCTTCATTTCTAACCATGGGCTCTAACTCTACTTGTAATGCTTAACCCAACATGTTCTCTCACCCACATGGGCCATCCATAACGCAGCCTTGGTTCTGTAAATTAAGTACCTTAATCTCGCCAAACTGGGCCACATAGTTTTCCATGGTCCTCAAGGCCTGGTCAGACAGTTTCTCTTCATAGTCTTCCCAAAGGAGATCATTATTCTATGGGAGAGAAACACAGGGTGGGGAGGGCTCAACTTCTCAGCCACCTACCAGGGCAATACCCAAATTCTACCTGAAACAAACTCTTTTTTTGTAGTACTATATTTAGAATACCATGTTGGATTCTGTGGAAGAGAGAGGAAGGAGCAAGGAACTGGACATTGGTTCAGGGATTAAGAACAGCAACACATGGGCATAGCCCCGAGCCCTACAGCTTGGAGGACAGAGAAGTGTGGGAGCAAATGACTGCACGAGGAGAGTTTTCAAAGCCAACACACCTTCAGGCAGCAAAACTTCTGTACGGAATTAAAGAGGAGGAAAGGTCAAGACCAGAGGAGTTCACAGATGAGGAAAAACTTGTCATTACCTGAAGAGTCGCAGGTTCTCCCTGCTACCCAGTGACGGGGGCTACATACATGGACAGTGAGCTGTTCTCCGGTCTTCTTGCATGGAGAAGCCAAGCTGAGCTGGCGGTGAGAACAGCAGTGAGGGCGGAGGAGCCGCGCAGCCCAGGCTGCCCTTACCCCCATGATGGCCTTGAGCTCCTCGTGGCCGTCCCACTCGCTGCTGTAGATCTCCTGCAGGGTTTCCGACACCCTCTTGGAACTCTCATGCATCACTGAAAGGAGACAGTTCAGTCTTACTCGATGGTTCCCTGAAAGCCGCTTGTTGTAATCACATGGCTGACAAATCAGTGGGTCGCTGTAGGTGGCTTAGGTAGCAGTAAGGGAGCTGGACTAGGTTGAGATCGGAAAAGTCACTTTCTAGGGCCACAGAGACCCAGGAATCCAGAGTAGACAGTGGTAAAGACAAAACAAAACAGAAAAAACGCTGGCATGGTGTGGGGAGCAACTCGGACTAGACTAAGTTACTGGAATTAAGACTTATTCTATGCATCTGCTCTCCCACAATATGGCGCTGAGAAGGGAGAAACAGCTTCTACACAGCTGCCTCCAGTTCAACCAATAAACTGTAGGACCTGCTCCTGATTGGAGGAGAGCAGCGTACTCGGCGTGTGGGTAGCAGAGTTGGGATTGGCGGAAGAGGACTATAAAGGAGGAGAGAGACACTATGCACCAGGAACATCTAAGGGGAACACCTGAGGAACACCTGTGCAGCCCCCGAGAGAGCCGGCCAGCGGTGTGCCACTCCCCCACGGAAGTGGGGAATGTGGCAGGGGGAACCGCCCTTCCATGGAGGTGGAAGGGTCGGAAGCCAACCCGGGAAGAACCAGCAGCAAACCCGGGAAGGGCCGAGCAGATGAAAGAACAGTGCAGGGTCCTGTGTCGTTCCTCCACGAAGAGGGGGAGCGACAACATGGATGTTTCCCCCAGCCCCTGGGCCTCCTCGCAGCTGCATAAATACCCTGTGCAGCAATACATACCTTTGACTGCACCAAGGAAGTTCTTCAGGTCCTTGTATAGCTTTTGGCCTTCTGCCTGAAAGGAGAAAGCCTTTGGTTTCCAAATATGCCCCAGATGTCCAGATGTCAAAGTCAAAAAGTAGGTTAAAGGAGAAATAACTCCCAGAATTTCCTCAAATATTCACAATTCTTACAAATTGGCCATTGTCTTAAGATTTGTTTATTTACTTGAAAGGCAGAGTGAGAGAGAGAAAGGGAGAGGGAGGGATAGATTCTACCTGCTGGCTCATTCTCCAAATGGCTGCAACACCCCGGGCTGGGCCAGGTTGAAGCCAGGAACCAGAACTCCAACAGGGTCTCCCACATGGGTAGCAGAGACCTACACACTTAAGCCATCATCTACTGCTTTCCAGATGCATTAGCAGGAAGCTGGGTCAGAAGTGGAGTAGCCAGCACTTAAATTGGCACTCCAATATTGAATGTGGGTGTTGTAACTGGCATCTAACCAATACCACCACATAACTACTCCAGTCTTTTTCTTTTCTTTTTTAAATATTTATTTGTTCACTTGAGAGAGTTACAGAGAGAGAGACAGAGAGAGACAGAGACAGAGACAGAGAGAAGGAGGTCTTCCATCTGCTGGGCCAGGCCAAAGCCAGGAGCCAGGAACTTCTTCCAGGTCTCCCACATGGGCCCAAGCACTTGGGCCAACTTCTGCTGCTTTCCAAGGCACATTAACAGGAAGCTGGATCAGAAGAGGAGCAGCTGGGACTTGAACCGGTGTCCATATGGAATGCCAGCATTGCAGGCTGGGGTTTAACCCACTGTGCCACACACCAGCCCCCAGTCTTTACTTTCTTTTCTTTTAAAGATTTATTTTATTTATTTGAAAGGCAGAGTTACAGAAAGAGGGAGAGACAGAAAGAGAAAGAGAGAGAGAGAGAGAGAGAGAGAGAGAGAGAGAGAGGTCTTCCATCCACTGGTTCACTCCTCAAATGGCTGCAATGGCCGGAGCTGAGCTGATCCGAAGTCAAGAGCCAGGAGGTTCTTCTGGGTCTCCCACATGGGTACAGGGGCCCAAGAACTCGGGCCATCTTCTGCTGCTTTCCTAGACGCATTAGCAGGGAGCTGGATCGGAAGTGGAACAGCCGGGACTCGAACTGGTGCCCACATGGGATGCTGGTGCTTCAGGCCAGGGCTTTAGCCCGCTGCGCCACAGCACTGGCCCAGTCCTTACTTTCTTTACCAATAAGCTGTCAGTTGTCTGGGGCCAGTTTTTAAGTTGAGGGATTATACTAACATGTATTCTTTCTTGTTTGTTCTCTCATCTAGTGAATCAGAGCCCACGTCAAGTTCTTCTGTTGAGACTTAAGTGTCCTCTGCATGACAATCTTAGTGAGATCCCCTGACTCACGCCCTCCTTTCTGGGTAAATTGCCACCATCCTCTGCGGACCCGTCTCTTCCTTCTCTGAACCCTCACAAAGGCCTCCCTCGCCTCCTCCAAAGTTCTTCTCTACTTCACCCCACTTCACCCTTTCCTACGTCCCCACTGTTCTTCCAAGGAGCCTCACTCACTTTCCTGTTCCAACCTCAATATCCTCGTCTAGGGTTCTATCTGCCCACCCCTACTCCCGTCTTTGTGCCTGTGTCTGAATTCTCATTACTGAAGACTAGGACCTGCCAAGTGCAGACTAGGTCTCCTCCTCTCTCCAAAAAGGAAAGGTGTAGAAAGACAGGAAGGTATCATTAAGAGTTAGAAGTTCAAATCTGGGGTCGGCGCTGTGGCACAGCTGATAAAGCCGCCACCTGAGGTGCTGGCACCCCATATGGGTGTTGGTTCGAGTCCTGGCTGTTCCACTTTCGATCCAGCTCTCTGCTATGGCCTGGGAAAGCAGTGGAAGATGGCCCAAGTGCTTGGGCCCCTGCACCCATGCGGGAGACCCAGAAGAAGCTCCTGGCTCCTGGCTTTGGATCAGTCAGGCTCCTGCCATTGTGGCCATTTGAGAAATGAAACCAGCAGATGGAAGATCTCTCTCTCTGTAACTCTGCCTTTCACATAAATAATTAAAAAAAAAAAAAAAGAAGAAGAAGAAGAAGAAGAAGTTCAAAGCTCAACCTGAGATGAACTGCTTTTATCTGAACCCTGACATGTATTTGTCTAGCTTCTGCTTCTTAAATGCCTCCAGGAACCAGAAACCAAACGTCTTGCCGGACAGCTCTGCTTCCTTTTAGAACAGCTCTTTCTGGAGTTGCGGCCCAGCCGTCTTGGGCTGGCCTCCTTCCTCTTCTGCGTGTGTCTGAGGACAACCTTCACATGCTTTTCACCAAGCTTCTTCCCCAGGTTTCCTCATTGCTCCCCATGGTGGGGTTAAAGCCCCTTCCCATCCTAGTCTCTTTCCTGTGTGTAAACTCTGATTTCTCAAGTGCAGTGGAGAAGTAGCTGAGTGGCATTTTGGAGTGTGGGACTGAACTGACAGGTGCAGGCCACTTCAAGGTACTTTTCAGGGCCAGCCTATAGGTTACAGGATGGCCAAGATGAAAACCAACATACATTATGCGGTATACCATAAATACACGTCATGAACTTGCTATGACAAGTCAATAACTTTGTTATCTGCTGTGTCCATTCCCAGACAGCCATACCAAGAGTATAAAAAAATTACAGGAGAGAAAAATGAAAATTCCATTCTAATGACCTAAATGTTTTCCCTGTGGAGATCTTTGGGAAAAGTTCACTATTATTTGATTTTAGCAGCAGAAAACCCAATTTACTCAAATAAATAAAGAAAACTAGACTGATTATTTCATCCATCTTCTTGCCTCCAGCACTCATTTCTACGCCAGTCCAAGCTTTTGACCATACTTCATGTTAAAACTCTCTCTTAGCAGCCATTTAGTCTAGCAGTTCAGGGACTGTGTCCCACGTCACAGTGCCTGGGCTTGATTCTTGACCCCGGCTTCTGACTGCAGCTTCCTCTAATGCACACTCTGGAAGGCAGCAGTGACAGCTTAAGTCATCATCCGTGCGGGAGACCCGGATTGAGTTCCCTGCTCCCGGCTTCCGTCTAGTCCAACCCTGGCCCTTGTAGGTATTTGGGAGAATGAGAGAGTAGGCAGGAGCTCTGTCCCTCAGACAAACAAATAAATGAAAATTAAATGGGGACCGATGCTGTGGTGCAGTGGGTTAAAGGTGTGGCCTGCAGTGCCAGCAACCCATATGGGCACCAGTTCGAGTCCTGGCTGTTCCACTTCTGATCCAGCTCCCTGCTAATATACCAGGGAAAGCAGTGGAAGATGGCCCTAGTGCTTGTGGCCCTGCACCCACACGCAAGACCTGGACGAAACTCCTGGATCTTGGCTTCGGCCTGGCCCAGCCCTAGCCACTGCAGCCATTTGGGGAGTGAACCAGCAGATGGAACATCTTGTAACTCTGCCTTTCAAAGAAATAAGCAAATCTTAAAACAAAACAAAAAAAAAAAAAAAAAAAAGAGAGAAAGAGAAAGAGAAATGACAAAGGAAGAGGCAAATTCAGAGAGAACTGGTAAAAGCCAAGCCACTGAACTTGGTAAATGAAAGTCACTGGTGACCGGGCCGGCGCCGTGGCTCACTAGGCTAATCCTCCACCTAGCGGCGCCGGCACACCAGGTTCTAGTCCCGGTCGGGGCGCCGGATTCTGTCCCGGTTGCCCCTCTTCCAGGCCAGCTCTCTGCTGTGGCCCGGGAGTGCAGTGGAGAATGGCCCAAGTCCTTGGGCCCTGCACCCCATGGGAGACCAGGAGAAGCACCTGGCTCCTGGCTCCTGCCATCGGATCAGTGCGGTGCGCCGGCCGCGGCGGCCATTGGAGGGTGAACCAACGGCAAAGGAAGACCTTTCTCTCTGTCTCTCTCTCTCACTGTCCACTCTGCCTGTCAAATAATAATAATAATAATAATAATAATAAAAGAAAGTCACTGGTGACCTTGAGAAAGCACTTTCAATACCATATTATAGGGGCCAGCACTGTGGCCTGAAGCACTGGCATCCCATATGGGTGCCGGTTCGAGTCCCAGCTGCTCCTCTTCCGATCCAGCTCTCTGCTATGGCCTGGAAAAGCAGTAGAAGACGGCCCAAGTCCTTGGGCCCCTGCACCTGCTTGGGAGATCCGGAAGAAGCTCCTGGCTCCTGGCTTCAGATGGGTGCAGCTCTAGCCGACACGGCCAACTAGGGAGTGAATCATTGGATGGAAGACCTCTCTCTCTCTCTCTCTCGCTGCCTCCCCTCTCTCTGTGTAACTCTTTCAAATAAAGAAATAAATCTTTTTTAAAAAATAGCATATTAGAGACAGATTCAGTCTGCTAACAAAATTCAGAAATACTGAGCACCCGCAGGAAGGAGGTCTCACTTGCTCCTTGTTTTCTTTCCTTCACAGAAAAAAGTACAGATGTCTAAGTTGTTGAATGTGCACAATGCCTTTTATTTTCTTAAAGATTTATTTATTCATTTGGAAGCCAGAGTTATAGAGAGAGGGAGATACAGAAAAACAGAGAGAGAGAGAGAGTGAAAAAGAGTGAAAGAGAGAAAGAGAGAGAGAGAAAGAATTTTTCATCCACTGGTTCACTCCCCAGATAGCTGCAACAGCTAGAACTGGGCTGGTCTGAAGCCAGGAGCCAGGAGCTTCTTCCAGTCTCCCAGGCTGGTGCAGGGGCCCAAGGACTTGGGCCACCTTCTACTGCTTTGCCAGGCCACAGAAGAGAGCTGGATCAGAAGTAGAGCAGCCGGGACTCGAACCGGCACCCATAAGAGACATTGGTATCCCAGGCAGCGGCTTTACCTGCTAACCACAATGCCAGCCCCCACAATGCCACAATGTCCGTCCGTCCATCCTTCCTTCCTTCCTTCCTTCCTCTCTCTCTCTCTCTTTCTTTTTGACAGGCAGAGTGGACAGTGAGAGAGAGAGAGAGAGAGAAAGGTCTTCCTTTTTTCCGTGGGTTCACCCCACAATGGCTGCTGCGGCCGGCGCACCGCACTGATCCGATGGCAGGAGCCAGGTGCTTCTCCTGGTCTCCCATGCGGGTGTAGGGCCCAAGGACTTGGGC